CAGTCTTTCTTGACATTTAACCTGCCGTGGCAGTAACATCTTTTCTCTCTCCCACTGGAATTTGCATTAATAGTGTGCTGTCACTTCTGCTGTTGTATTTTTAAAGGCCAAACCTGCCCCGGTTGCTCCCAGTTGAGATTGTCTTTGTAATATGTTTTAGATGTACAGGCCACCTTCATATTCAAGTGAAACGGTCAGTGGTCTCAGACTTTTGGACGCTGTCAGTGTCTTTTCCCAGGATAATGGTGTAGCCCCTGCAGAGCTGACAGGGAACAGGCATGTTGGCCTACAGATTAGCAGTAAAAAAATCCTATTGAGGCAGTAAACCTCCATAGCTTTCATTTTTTAGGTGTGTATGTTGTCTTTTTATTCAATTGACTTGTGTATCGGATGAGGAGAGCACATTTCAGAATAAAATCACTTACGATAAGGTGTTTTTTCTGGTGACAGAAGATCTGCGTGCCTCGCACCTTCCTTTAATATGTGCGAAGGAAAGGGACACACATTTACTCAAGATAATGTGAAACACATCGTGGTGCAATCTAAAGGAATATCAGTAAAGAAGTAAAAGTGCTTAATAGGCAGTAAGGCCAGCCTCTAGCGCCCAAATAGCTTGAATCTTCATTGACGTTCCTGTCATTTGAGTGAAAGCTGTGTGTCAGGGGACATTGGATCCTTCTTGACAGAAAGCCTCCAGTTCTTTGAAGGATAAAGGAAGAGAAAAAATCTTTACAGTTTGTCCCATGAAACCTGATGGAGTTTTAGATCGTGTGGCAGGGGAGATAATCTTCGACTTCTAACCGCATTCCAGTGTTCATGAAAACACTGGAGCTATCATTAGATTTAAAGAGACCATAACTGATCCAAAAGTTGAGAAAAGACATTATATTTAAGGCACCGTCTGAAATGTGAAATAATCTTCACAAGTCACAATTATAGACATTTATAATGTTTTTGTCTTTATTTAATACAGCCACAAATCATTCCTAGTTGGTTGAAAAAATTGGTGGAACTTAAACAAAGACTTCTTTTAGCTTCAGATCTTACCTGTATAACATTCAGGAGAAAGTTTGCACTATTCTTACGTCAGCTCAGGTATACCCTGATGATGTCTACCATGTGACCTGCCCTCTCATAGTCAGAACTCAGCATTGGTATAAGGTCTGATTGGGCCACTCCAAACTGTGGATTAGTTTGAGGTCATCCTTTTGTACGGTCATTTCCATGTAGGGTCATTGTCCTTCTGCTGGTGCACAGCCATGTGACAAATCAACCTTGTGTCTTTAGCCCAGAAAACATTTTACCATTAGTGTGTTGGAGATTGAAGCTGCTGTTGGCAAACTTGTGTAGTAAGGTCTTTTGGAGAGCTGAGGCTTGTATGGAGCCTGCATTTGCATATGATTGACTCATGAACAGAGATGTTCCAATAATTAGTCTCATGTGACTTTGGGTTTCTTTTCTTTAAGCCTCCTCTGAGCCTCCTTCTACAACTCCACTTGGTTATATTGACAGGATTTCATATTTTCAAACAAGAGGACTTCATTTAAGCCTGACAGTAATTTGATCCTAATATGATCACTGGAGATGCATATTGATATCAGTTGTAAATATAATCAGGTTAAAATCACAACTGAATACAATCTAGGAACAAGATGTATTTTAATGTCAGGTGTAATGGAGTGTAGTAAGCTTCATAAAACCTCAGCATAACGTTGTCTCTGTGGGCATATTAGCAAGGCTAAAGTTAGTGTCCATAACTGCATTCACAAGGTGGGTGGAACGTCCCATTTCCAGAGTTGTGAAGGCGTTATTCTAAATTGTGCCTGACAGTTGAAAACATGCATGGACGCCGTGAAAGGTGGTGATGAAGTCAGCGATTTGGCAATGCCTGGACCAAAAGTTTCACCAACTTTCCCATTTGTTCACTTGAAAGCACGTTACGTGAGTAACCCTATCCCGGGAACACATTTTTCTGATTATTCCTGACACCACGTGAACACACAATAAGTACAGCTCAACAGAGCCACAGTGGCAGAAGACCCTCAGTCGTCTCTGGACCAATCATGCAAGAGTAAACTGTGTAAATTCCAATATGACTCTGTCAGGACTAAATGGAAATTTTACCAAGCATGCAGGTGGGAGAAGGTTGAGGGGTGAGGAGGTCAGGTGGAAATGATAGAGGTTATGTGCTGCAGTGTGACTGTATGTGTGCGGATGCTGTGCAAGTTGAGTCTTGTCCTGCCGATTCCCACTAGCACACTGACCTTTCGCTCTGTCGGTGGGAAAAGATGAGGGCACCTTAATTACCCTCAAAACAACAGCCTTCCTAACGCTGCTCAGCCAGGGGAGGTCACGTACCCCACTGTACTCCAACACAACACAGGCTCTATTGGTTTACATTACACACAGAGAGTTATCTGGCACTACCTGGAAAAGGTCACTTGGCACTATTGCATTGATTTACATGGAAATGTCGTACGTGTGTAAACTATTGAATGTCCAGCTCTGATAAAATGTGTCCTCGTGCAGCTCTCTGGGTTTCACCACTCACACGGACACACGTGGACAGCAGGGCAGGGAGGGCGAGAAGGAGAATGTGACATCAAGTGAAGTGAAACATAAACGAATAAGTCATGTTGACAGCAGCTCTGCTCATTAATGCATGTGCAATTAAACCTCAGCCAATAAGAGAATCGTTTATCAAAACACCCGTTAAACTTTTCAGTGATATTTTCAGTTTCTCCTGCAGTCTCCCATCCACCAGTTGTATACTGTGTTTACACCACAGCAAACATGTCATGTTAATAGCTAGTTGTCATGCAAAAGTTACAACAAAAATGGGCTGTATGTTAATAGTTGACTGCAAACTTTTTCTGGATTTCTGTCAAAAACACTGGGCGACGCATCTACCTACCTTTTGTAAAAAGTAAATATAGACCATAGTGCACTATATAGTGATTAATGAGGATTTCAGACACTGTCTTCTCCGTAAATATTGTTATTTTGTTGATGTGCTCTGTTACAGGTGACATGTTTTGCACTTCTGTTTACCCTGGTAGTCGGATCCCTCTCATATTAGACTCTGTTAATAGGGTTTTCTTTTTGGGAGTTTGTTCTCTCTCTCACTGAGGGTTAGGGGGAGAGGATGTCGCACCTTGTTTAGCCCTATGAGGCAAATTATGATTTTTGAATATGGCCATTCAAATAAAATTTGATAGATTCATTAAAAAAATGAATGGAGAAAATATTATGAACACCTCTCAGTACACAGTTAAGAAACAGTTTGAGGTGTGAGTGAATGTTTCACACCCATTCTTTTGAATTTGTGTTCACATGTTTTCTGATCAGGTATCTGGCAAATATGGTTTATTGTTAATGCTCTTGATTTCAATTTTAACACAGCAGTGATGTGCAAATTGATTAGGATGATTGGATTATTAAGGAACATAATCTGAAACTATTATGATATTATGTTTTGAACTAGTTCAAGTTTAATTTGTATTTTGAGTAGAAAAAATATTATTTTGACTTTTCAATGGTGTAAAATGACTTTGAGAATAAGAATAACAACATATGTGCTGTCAGGGGTTGTCTTTTATGCAGTATTCAAGTGCTAGAGTTTTATCAAGCAGACCTAAGGCAGCTGATCAGGCAGCTTTCGTTGGCAGTTCCTTGAGTTCAGCTCAATGTGTCAGTGTCCTCTTTAATTGGAGCTACAAGTTGGGACGACAGGACGTCACGGCTGACGTTTGCTACACTTCACAAAAGAACGTTTCTGAAGTGCTGATGGTGCTGAAGTGCTCACTGCTACTTCCGTGTGTGATATGCACTGTTGTGACCTGTGCTGCCTGAACAGGTCTCTCTCTCTCTCTCTCTCTCTCTCTCTCTCTCTCTCTCTCTCTCTCTCTCTGTCTGTGAGTGTGCCCCACATAACCCATGGATCAGTGGTTATTCTATTTCGATAGCCTACTTCTTTTTCCCCTCACTTCGTGCCACAGTGGACTCTTGTGCTAGGTTTCATTTCCTTGTGTGACATCAGTCTGTTGTTTCCTTTGGATTTATTTATCCAAGCACAGAGAGGAAGAAACACCCACACACTATCTACACTGGCTCAACAAAGAACATTGTTTTATTTAATGTTCTTCATTGAGCAGGTGCAGGGAGTGTGCAGGTGTTTTTACTCTTGTGTGTCAGGTCTGCCTATGTACCTTTCATAAAGATCATTAAGGTTTTTGATTATTTATTTATTTAATGAACCATAACCACTTTATGTGCACCTCTCTGTTTGATATTCATACTGTACAGTTTCAGGTGATGCCTTAGTATAGTGACAGAACTCTAGCTGTTAGACTGAAGCTGTTTTCAGACATAAAAGTAGGTCTGGATTTTCTCTACAATTCTTCTTTCACATATGAAGAACGCAGCAGGAGATTATCAGGAAATTCTCCAGCACATAGAGGGATGGCTTCTAGGTAGAGAATGCAGTAGGCAAGACATAATGTATAAATTCTACGGCAGAAAGTTAGACATTTTGCAGCACATCAACACTGGCGTCAACCCTTTTTACCAAAGGCCCTTGAATGTCATTGGTTTTGTGTCCGTGTTAAAAACATCAACGCATCCACTTACTGCAGCGGAGGTTTGGAGCCTCTCCCTCGGACATTAGGGTTCTCACATAGAGCCCCACTGGATAATTTCAAAAGAATATTCTGAGTTCAGTGCATGTCTGACAGCAGCAATAATAAATCTTCTTTCTCAGTAATTATTGTGGAGTTCCCCCCTGGGGGAAACACTTAACTTTCACTGCTTCACTTGCTTGTCATTGGCCAGGAGCGGCAGCACAATGTGGTTTACTAGAAAAATGTCCCTGAACACAAGCATGCTCAATCCAGTTACTCAGACGAATAAAGATTTAATGTGCTTTTGAACAACATTGACAATGATGTGAACACTGAAGAGTGATGTGAAGATAATATTGTGTCCTGTGTCTTCTCTTCCAGATGAAGACGGTCAGTGTAGCGCTGGTGTTGTGTCTCAATGTCGGAGTGGACCCCCCCGATGTGGTCAAGACCTCACCCTGCGCCAGACTGGAGTGCTGGATAGGTGAGCGAGTCTGAAACATGAACATGCTCTTAAAAAAAAAAAAAAGTTTTAGAAAATAAACATTATCACTGACATTCAAGCAGATGACATTTCTAAGTTGTCCATCTTATACTGAAAAAAAACATATATAGCAAGCCATGACAGTAAAAGTTTAGCTTTTACTTTGCAGCATTTAGGGACATTCTTAGTCTCTCTCATAAGTGCTCAATTCATAACTGCTTTGTCAACAAACCATGAATGAGACCCCACTAGAACCACAACACGTAACACAGAACAAAGACAAAGGAAGCATTTCCATTGAATGGAAACCTCAAAACCACTGTTTCCCTCCCCTGAGACTCCTTTACTCTTGGAGAAGTGAGGGAAGCACATTAAAGTGTGAACACAGCTCTTAAAGTTTCTCAACTTTCTGAGCTGCTCCTGACACTGTGAAGACCTGACGCTTGGTTTTAGAAATGGTGAACTTTCAGAGGTAAAGGCAGAGGTGATGTCCTAAAATACACCAGAGTAGAATATATGGAGTCTGATGCATCTATCTGCAAAAACATGGCGTGACAGACACCAGCTTTTGTGTGTGGTTGTCAGAGGACTTATTTTACACAGTGGCACCATTACAGGAAATCTTGGTGTTTCAGTGCTCTCTTTCACTGTAGGTTTCTCACAGGAAAAAAAGCAGTGTCTCGAGAGTCTAGATAATGAGTAGAAATTTCGTATATTATTCCAAGAAAAGTATATATTTTTCCTTCAAAATGAAACTCTGTGAGACAGAAGATATTACTTGATCTATCAAACACAATCATTAAGTTGTGATAGTGCAACGAAGCCTCATTCATCACAAGAGCAGTGGATGACTTCTCTGCATAAGCGTATCACTATCTCCTGCAAACTTGCCAATACATTAGTCTCTGCCTGCTGAGCGCTATTTGATCCGTCCTCAATCTATATTTTGCTATTCTTCTTGCCATATTGATGCACTCTCATCAATATTTCAACCAGAGGCTGCTGAGATTTTTCCAAACACTGCTTTTGACATTTTCCATTGATGCTGAAAGGACAAACTTGCCTTTGTCATCATAGTGTTGTTGTATCTTTTGCATGAATATTAAATATCATTTGCTGCTTTGTTACATTGTTTTTTGGTAAAGCTGTCAGCTAAAAATCTAACACTATATAATCATGGCTGCTTTATCACCTCCAGATGTCTGTAGTTTCACTGTGCCATGAATGTTTTGTGCTCTGTGTGTGTATGTGTGTACGCAGTGTATTTGACTCTCTGTGTCTGCTTGCCAGATCCTCTGTCGATGAGTCCACAGAAAGCTCTGGAGACCATCGGGGCCAACCTGCAGAAGCAATATGAGAACTGGCAACCCAGGGTGAGTGGGTTCACGTGAACCAGCCCCCCTCTTTCTCTTAAATGCTCTTATAATGTCACGAACACACACACACACACACACACACACACACACACACACACACACACAGCTATTGCATATTACATACGCACTTGGATGAAATGCATACAACAAAACAATGAAGAATTATCGGCCCTCCAAGATTTGACTTTGGCCATATCATATCACCACTGATTGATTTGGCATCCAATAACCCATGTGGTGCGTTCACAGCTAACACGACAACATTATGAGGTCAAACCGAATGCATCACAAATTTTATTCTGGTTAATAAACACAACCGGGGACATCCCCGTACTGGCTGAAGCGATCAAGTTGCTGCGCTGTACATGTTGTGGAAACACCTGGGGAAGCCAGCATCGTTGTGTGTGGCTCCACAAGCCCACCTGGAAAAGCACACAGGGACTGTCACCGGCTCAGACAGGAGCTTTTGCCTAGATTAAGGAAGGCTGAGCAGTGACCGGCTCTGATCACCTTCTAGCTTGCGTCAAATATGTTGACTATCCTTTACCTCCGCCCACGTCTTTCCGATTTTTGCCAAATCTGTGAACAAAACGGATAGTGGTAGTAGTTCTGTGTGAGAAGAGGCTTTCTGGAGAGTGGCATCTATTCATTCTAATCATGTAATTTTCTCCAGGTATTAGTTTGTGGACATTTTAAATGTATTTCTTTACACTCATCAATTAATGCAGTTGTAGCTCAGGAGGTAGAGCAGTTCTTCTATTCAACAGAATGTCTGTGGTTCGATTCCTTGCATGCCAAAGTGTCCTTGGGCAAGATTTCTGATACTGAACCTTAAAAATAGCCCCTCACGGCTGTGCAGGCTGTGAATGGTGTGCAACAGATAAAACACAGCATTAAGCAGTGCTTTATGAATGTCCTCTTATTGATCATTTGAATGGTTGAATGGTTTTATTTTGGATATCTCATTGCATCGTCACTCATACTCTTGTGTGTGCACTGTGCCAACAAACACCCACCTGCTCTTGACATTGAATATTTTTTTCTTCCTTTTTTAAAGCTGCATCACATGGGTCTTGTAATTTCAGCTGTTATAAGTGTATGCGTGTGTTCATGGATTCCTATCATTGCTAGCAGCTGCACTACCTCCCAGCTGTAAGTGTTTTCTCAGAGGCTCCTCAGTCGAGCTGCCCCGCTGCCTCCGAGCATCGCAGCCTCTGTGCTGGAGCAGATGCTAGAGGCAGCCTTTCCATCACTCCTAAACACAGATGAAGCGATATTAGTGAAGGTAAAGAAAACAGACGGATGTTAGGCTGTGAGGACAAGCGGGGATGCAGATATGCACTGGAGTAGATGAGAGATGCTGGAGAAAAGACTGATTTGTAATCAGTAACCTGCTCACACAATGTTTGGAAGGAGAGAACTGAGCTTAAGCAACAGGAAATCTGATCCGTGTGACTGACTGTACACAGTGTTAGTGGACAGTGTTTACAAAACATGATGTGATTTTCTGTCATTCCACCATTAGATGTCATTGTAATGGCCCGGGCTGACTAAAATGATACCTGCACTGCCAGCATTGTCCAGATAATTGAGATATGCAGATACTATAGATTTAACAATCCACACTGAATACACGGCACATGTCTCTACTTTTTTAACCTTCATGTTATCAGTGAGGTATCTCCATCGGCAACAGCTCAAATTGTCAAATGACTGATTCAATGATTGTCTGAGGAAGACGTTCAAGCTACTGATCAGGACATCCGCAAGGTTCTCGATGGACAGTTTCTCATTTCGTGACCAGTTTAGTTTGTAGATGACAGACTAAATAAAAAACATTGAGTCATTATATTTTCTGTAGGCTCTCTCTCTCTCCCTGCTGCTGAAAATTTTGCATATGATGTAAATTTTAAGTAAGATTACATCTTGCGATTAACATGTTGATGGTAACTAAGCACTAGAAAATCTTATTTCAACTATATTTTATTGAAATAACCCTAAATTCTGCACCAGATGACAACAGTGCATGATGGTGTATGCATTTGAACTCTCCTTCATATATTCCTCTCCGTGCCTCTTGTCAGACACGTGTCCTGTGGGGAGTGGTGAAAGAAATAAGCAAACACTTGAAATTTGATCTGAACGGTTGAGCAGAGCTGCATTTGCAGGTCTTGGAATTTAACTGCATTTCAAACCACCTGTGAATATGGTTTAGATGACTTGATTTGATCAGGCCTTTTTTCTTATGAGAGTTTGCAAGAAAAGCTCTGTTTAGTAAGATTTGTGAAAGAAATCAGGTCTCAGGTCTGCTGAGACGAATAGGGATAAGGGAATTTTTTTTTGGCCAGGTGAAAGGGCGGACCTGAAAGACAAAAGGTAAAATAGAGACGGCTTAGTGATACTCAGGGCAACTTTAGTGCAATAGTAGCTGCTGAGTTGCTTGTTAGTAGGAGCTGTGGAATTATACATAAAATAACTGCGTGTGGCTGTTTGGTGAGATGCCACAGAAGTGACACACAAGAGAGACAAGAGGAGGTGGAGGAAGAGACGTCCTAAGAGAGAGCAGCTGAAGAAATGTGGGCTTGTGCTCTGCTGACCTCTGAGGTCAGGTGGTAGGAGTGCAGGAGGAGGAGTGGGAGGCTGAGAAAGCTGTTCCTTTTTTTTTTTTTTTTTNATACACCAGAAATATAAAGTGTGTATTTATGCTGAAGATAATTGAGTTTTGATGTTATTTTTTTTGTTCTTTGTTCATTAGATAATTTTTTTTTTTTTTTTCATAATTTCTCCAGCTCTGCGGCACCACCACAGAGCAGCGTTCGCCGACACACCTTATAAAAACTGTTGATAGAGCAGTCAATTACACCGCAGCTATTTACCTACTCCTTCACCATGATGAGATACCTGGTAGTAAGTTCATTTCAGAGGAAGCCAGTCTGTAAATATTTGACCGAATAGCAGATCTGAAATCCTTCAGGTCACTTATCCCACTGTGGTGTTGGTGTGTACGAGCAGCGTTCATCATAGCGAAGCCGCTCAGAGTTTAGCTGTGCCAGCCTGCCATCACGAATTCCCTTCTCTGTTTGCTGCTGTACTCCAACATTAACACTCATGGCCAGAAAATACAGAGAGAAAGGCAAACACCATCTTGGCTGCTGCCCACTCGCTTTCTCTCCCAGCACTCCCTCTCACTCTTTTTTAACATCTCTGACCTTTCTTCATCATTGTTTTCCACGCCACATCAAAGTGAAATATTATCTATTGTAGGGTCTCTCGTGTCCATGCTTCCTTTACATCTGATTTCACCAGTCTTCTTTGTCTGTGTGTTTTTTGCACTGGAGTAAAGAAAAGATATGATACCTCTGGGAGCTTGGAGCTGAGGTCTAATGCAGCACATGCAGATAACATCGCATTCTTTATCGTACTGTTCTTCTGCCACTGTTTTTGAATTAGTTCAGTCAGTCAGATCTGATTTGCTTCATAATAGTTCATGTTGCTGGTCTACTGGAAGGAATTCTTGTACTGGATTGTGGTGCAACAGCAAATAGAGAAAAAAACCCATTTTATCATCACTCCAGTATGACAATGTCAAGCAACGTTATTCGTTTGTTTGGAGGTTGAATGGTTGATTTTTCTGCTTGTTGGATTATAATCAGGATTATGCAAAAACTACAGAACGGATTAATTCATAAAACACGGTTGAAGGATGGGACATGAGCCATGGAAAAACCCAGATTTATGGTGCAGTTTTCCTTTTTTCAATGTGGTGTTTGTTTTACATTATCGCCAAACATCCCCCAAAAGTCAAGCATATTTAATACCTGCTAATGCGTGCAAATTGTTGGTGCTCTCTACTGTTCACAGGACACAAAATAACGAATTACGTGTATATATATATATGTATATGTATGTATGGATATATGTATATGTATGTATGTATGTTAGCCTTGGTAAAGATATGCATCCTCCAAGTGCTCACTGATCTGCTGCGTAAAAGAGGAAGGGCAGAACCCTTTAGTGTAATGAGTGTAGCTGCTGGTATGCATGCTGTTATCAGTGATGAACTGAGCTGTTGCCATATCAACAAAGACTGATATCTGAAGGATTTTGATTCAAAGCAACTTCATTTACCTTTAAACAAACATGGTCAAGGCTGCTGAAAAACCTGTGGCGTTGTCTTTATTACTGTGGGTCTGAGCGATCACAGCATTGCTGTAAATTGTTATCATTGTCATTGTGGCTAAATCTATCGACACATCTTTCCAACATCCAAATCATGCAAGCGCAACATTATTGAAAAATATTAAAACTGTCTACAGACTCCATTGGCGTCTTGAAATTAAAATGTTGACTATTTTAGAGAAAGTTTTTAAATCCTCTTGACTTCTGTCTGTATGACTCCCCGCACACAGATTCAGTTTTTTTGCTGCGTGTATGATCCCTATCCTGCAGCATTAGCATAGCATGCTTGCAGCAGTCACTGATAAAGAACTTGATTGAAGGAGACACCTGACGGCTGTCAGGAGAGCTGATGTGATTGCTGTCGGCTGTGGGCACACACTCTACTTATGTCCTCATATTCTGACACTTAAATGTGATGCCGCCACATAATAGTGCAACTTCTCTGACTCAAGTTTGATAACTTTAGGCATGTTTTTCTCCCAATCCATGAACCTAGATAAAGTTTTTTTTAATTTTTGACTTTCAGTCCTCGTACTTTTAATCTTAATGGGTCAGGATCTGATTTGTGGTTTGGGTGTCATGTAGCCTCGTAAAAAGCCGCCAGATGTATCCAGTGTTTCATTTATGAGCTGACATAAAACGTCACATTCCTTTTTTATTAAATAGTAATGTTGTGCATATGGTTTAATTTGTGTGTACGAGATGACTGTGACTGCAAATGGTAACTCATCATTCGTACCACAGTGGTCAGCAGTTTGGGAACTCGACACTTGTGATGGCGATAATGGCAGCATTATTATAGTTTTCGTGCCCTGACC